TCTTATACACATCTAGATGTGTATAAGAGACAGGATCAGAGCATTGTTATATCAAAAAAAAGAAAAAAAAAAAAAAAAAAAAAAAAAAAAAAAAAAAAAGAAAAGCCCTTCCTCTATTTTTTTTTTTTTTGGGGGGGGGAAGGCCTGAACGGCTGTCCGGAATCCAGATTTGACAGGTAATTGCATTGGTTGGGCTTAAAAGAATTATCCTTATCCTTCGTCTTACCGTGAAGGTACTGGAGGTACACTCGTTTTTCTTAAGGGGGTATCGCCTGATGTTATTGTACCCAGATCTTTTTCTTAAACCACCAGTACGTTTCCCAGCCAGGACAAAAGAGATGCGACTTGCATGCTGCCGCAACTTTCAGGGCTCGGCTGCTGGAGCGAGATTGCTGGCGGCACCAGCCAAAAGGAGGCCCGAACCGCGCGTTTCAAGCCCCGGAGAAAAGTGCCTCGGACGTAGTGGTGGCTTAGACCACCAGTACCTTGCCCAGCTAAAAGAACAAACGACGCTTCCGTTAACGCGCCGCGTCAGGTGGGGTACCTAGCGCCCAACGACCGGTATCCCCAAGAAAAATGGAGAAAAAAAAAACCGTAAAAGAGAATGAAAAGTAACGAGCAGAATGAGAACGGGAGCGGCAAGGGGGGAATGGGGAAAGGGGGAAATAATGAGAGCGAGAGAGCGCGCGCGTGCGCGCGCGCGCGCGAGAGAGAGAGAGAAAGTCTGACGCCGAGTTTGGTGTGCCAACTCGGCGTCAGACACTCTCTCACGCCCTCTCTCTCTCTCTCTCTGTGTGAACATCCCAATGAGAATGAATCTTCTGCGTTATCGCAGAAGATTCATTCTCGTTGGGACGCTGAGAGAGAGAGAGAGAGAGAGAGAGAGAGAGAGAGAGAGAGAGAGAGAGAGAGAGAGAGAGAGAGGGTGTCGCCACACCACTCTCGAAGTGCAAAAAAAAGGCAATTTTTTTTTGGTGCAGATGCCCATGTTCTAGTGGGAAGTTCATTCTCATTTTGCACATTTCGAGAGTGGTGGGGGGATGCACAGTGTTTGACGCACCAAACTCGGTGTCACACACGGTGGATGCCCTTTCTCTCTCTCTCTCTCTCTCTCTCTCTCTCTCTCTCTCTCTCTCTCTCTCTCTCTCTCTCTCTCTCGTAGTTCCAATGAGAACGAATCTTTCACATTGTCGTGGAAGATTCATTCTGATTGGGCACGTCTGATTTCCAGGCACAGTTTTTTTTTCTTTTTTGCAGAATGTTGTTTGTTTTTTTGTGTCTTTTTCTTCTTCCCCCCCCCCCAAGATGTACTACCGGTACATCGAGGCTCGGCAATAAAGTCCGAGGCTCGGCAATGATCGGGCTACCAGTTGCCCGAGCCTCGGACTTGATAGCTGGGCGAGTTACTGGTGGTTTGACACACGCATTTATGTACCCTTCAGCCCCAAGGAATGCACACTGCAGCTCCACCCTATCTTTAGGCTGTCCCACACTTTCTATGGCCAGTAAAGATGCTGTAAGGTCATTTTCTTCTCCTTCCCTCTCCCTTTCCCGTTCCCTTTCCCTCTCCCAAGTTTCCTCCCTTTCTAACAGACTGTGTCGAGATCTGTGTTAGTCTGCATCAGTCAGCTCGTATGTACTAGTCTGACATACTGTTGGTTTGATTGTCTGTCTCTGTCTCCAGCATGTTGATTTTTTTTTAATTTATATTTTTGATTTTACCATTCGGCAGGGCTGGCGAATACTCTTTTCCCTCCCTCCTTTCCTTTTAACTCAGTTTTTGTGAGTAGCCACGAGTCTGCAGCATGACGACTGCTCTATGTGCACAACTGGCGCCTATCTAGCAGTCACCAAGCCCAAATTTCTGTCGTAACATCAATGCCTCCATCTAGACTGACACAATTGGCTGGCACACTGGAGGCCTCAGTTTGCCTAATGACACACCATCTACCAGTCGGGCCTTGCTCTTTTTTTTTTTTTTCATGAGCTCCTGGCAGGCCGTTGCCAATAGCTACTGTGCTGTTTTTTGTACAAGTTTTTTTTCAATTTCCTGGTTTTGTAGAAGGAGGGTCTCGTTAGACACTCCTAAAAGAATCATAAAAAATTTAGGACCAGTCCTTAGAGATTTTTAGGAATTGTGGTGTCGCGGTTAGAAGATTCCTAAAAGAACAGCTTTTAGGACCAGTCCTAAAGGGTCTCCTGCGGCCAGATTCATATGTGTATATGGAGCTGCATCGCCGATGTCCGCCCATCGCCGTCTCGTGTCCGTGGTACACAAGGATGCAGACCGCGCCCGGTTCATGGGTGCAAGAAAAAGAAGCGCGCAGAAACGGCGACAGGGGGACGCCTGGCCGCCATGGGTGACGTAAAAAGATGCCGCACACGAAGCGTGTAGGAGCCGTTGTGCCGAATCCGACCATTGGCGGTCATCCACTGGCCGGAGATCGTTGATGTGTCATCGCCTCACCGCCCCTTCTCCCCCCACTCGTGCTTCACGCTCAATGGTCGACTACAGTGGACAGGGCAACGCATGATGTCCCAGCTCCAATTCACCCCCACCGCCCAAGGGCTACCGGTTCTGGCCATTGCCGCCGGCCCCACCGGCGGCCTCCAATGTCCTCGCAGTGGCCCGACGAACAACTTCTGCACCACGGAGTTGGAGACATTGGTGCCCTGCACGCATCCGCGAGGCTTCGCTAAATACAGTCTTACAAATTTTAAAGCTCCTGACGAGGAGCTTTATTTTTCGGGTTGTTTTGGCTGGGGATTCCTAAGTTTTTAGGAATGATTCATACGCTGTTTTCACTTTGTTTTTTCACGATTCGTTTTTGACATTTTTAGAAGTGTTTAATGAGATCCAAAGTTAAGAAAACCTCAATCGGTTTGTTCACAAACACCCAGTATCACCTGCAAAGAAAGGCCCCAGTTGGCACCAGGTGGTGGTCCCCACCAGTAGACTGGAGCCTCTGGGACAAATAGAGCAGCACTATCCCAAAGGTTAACATGAAAAGAACTGCGGGAAAATCAATCGTCACTTCGGGATTGGTTTCGGAGCTCCCATAATAGTCTCCTGTGGACCTTCAGTCAACCACAATGAAGGAACGATGACCCAGAAGAAAAAAAAGCCGACAACTCTGGGTCTGTGCATGTTTTCTTTCATCTGTTTTGCGTTTTTGTTTGGATTTCCCACTCGGGCCCACCCTACTCCCTGACTGACCACCACCAATTAGGGCGGGGGGCAACATGAATCCCCTTTTTTATGCTTGCAGGGGTCTCTTGTATAGGCTTAGGAGCAGTGGTAGGCTATGGGACAAAAATAGTGTAGAAACATTTCTAGTCAGATGAATTTGGTCTAGAGGTCAGGACACAAGACACTGCAGGTTTTTGGGGTGGCGGGTTTCACACATGCCCGAGCAAAGCGGCCGTTTCGACGCCCGCTGCTGCTGCATGTTGCAGACACAGAGAGAGAGAGAGAGAGAGAGAGAGAGAGAGAGAGAGAGAGAGAGAGAGAGAGAGAGAGAGAGAGAGAGAGAGAGGACTGACAGTGCTGCCAGTCTGAAGACTCTGACGTTCTGAATTGAACTTCAAAGTTCAAACTTTTAGGCAGCGAGAGGAGAAGAGGAGAACAGGAAACGAGGGGAGAGGAGGAGAGTACATGGAGGAGGGGGAGGGGTGGAGAGGAATAGTCATCAGCATCCTCATCATTATCCATCATTTTTGTGATAATCTCAGGGTACTCCTCAAATTTCATCATCAGAAAGGTTTTTTTTATCAGGATTCTGATATTATCAGATCCTAGATTTCTAGTTGGCATTCTAGCTTAGCTAATTTCCTAATTTCCTAATTGAGCCTTTTTGTGTAATGGCCAGGTTGGCTTGGTGCCAGAACGACGCTGGCCGGCGCTGGGGCGGTGCCTGTAACCTGCTTGAGTAGGAGTTTGAGGCTTTGTATAGAGGTCTGGGATTGCCGAGGGAGGAAGGTGATCTGCAAACTTGACTAATGGCTACAATCTGGCCGACGATGGTTGGAGCTGAGGTGGGTAGTGCTGCCCTGTAACCGAGCCAGATTGGGGTGTGAGACCAGGAAGAGGCCTGATTGGTGCACAGCACAAGCTCAGTTGTGATTGGTTGGTTGGAATGGATACAGGAAATTAGGGATAGGATAGTATTTGAGTGCTGAGTAGACAATCATTCTGATTAGTCAGCATCTATCGCTATTTCATGACCTCAATCATCCTGAATCATCCTAAATCATCCTAAATGATCCTCAATCATCCCAAATTATCATCAATGATCATCAATCATGAATGTATTTCCATTATAAGGGACGCTGGGCCGGTTCCCAGCACGTGCTGCTCCCCACGAATAGATTGGAGCAATTGAAAAAAAAAGAAAAAAAAAGTTAATATATGAAGTTATGAACTTAAATTAGTCAGTCAGAGGTGGTGGATGTCATGAGGACAACATCAGGTTGTTCGCTGTGCAGTTGGTGAACGAGGGAACGCTGCGCTAGCGCTAGCGCCCCGATGTCGGCGCACCGGTAGGGCCCGGTCGCCCCGGCTCGACTGGCGACTGGGGAGGACGGCTCCCCCGCTGCTGGGCCTGTGCACGTGCCCGATAGGTGCAAGTGGTGTGCTGCCACGTGGCACCTGTTGTCTGGTGACGTGGATGTCCCGAGACACGTGAACAGGGGTAGCGCCAGCCGTGGAATTGACAAGTGGTTATGAAGAACCGTGTGAGTGGCGCACTGGATTGGGAGGGGAGCTACAACATCGAGCGGAAGAATGGCTTATCATACTGGAGGAGGGCTGCAAGCAGCTGCGGACGATAGTTGGGGCGCTTACGAGGCAGCATCAGGAGGGGGAGGAGATGGACGGGGGGGCCATCTCTATGGATCAGTGGTTGGAAGACAGGACCCAGGAGATGCTTGACATCATGTGGGAGCTGGAGGAGGGGTCAGATCCCCGGCTTGACGCCTACATGGACTGGAGGCGGGCGGAGGACAGGATGGGTGCTTGCAAAGCCCTCTTTACAACGGGACACAATATTTGTAATCAGCTGGAGATCCGAAAAGGAAAGGGCGAGATGGGCAACAAGGGCGACTGGGACGTCTGGGTGGAGGGAGGAGTGGAGGCTGGCGAAGAGAATTGCGGCGACAATACTGACAACAGCAACAACAACAACAACAACAACAACATCAACAATAACGGCGTCGACGGAGGCAGCGACGAACACGGCAGTAGCGGGGTAGAGAGCGGTGTCCGTGCATCCGAGGCCATCATTAGCACAATGGGAGGGATGCTGCAAGCGGACGTGGTGGGGATTGGGGCTGACATGGATAAGGGGTTTGCTATCTTCCCCCTCCTCAATGATAACGACGGCGACCACAACAACAACAACAACAACAACAACAACAACAACAACAACAACAACGACGCCGATGACGGCGGGGGCGACGTCCACGGCAGCAGCATGATGGGAGTGACACCGCAGGCGGACGCGGTGGGGACGGGGGTTGATATGGGAGAGTGGTTTTCTGTCCTCCCCCTCTTTAGCCTTGTTATGGAATTGCTTTGCCGTTGTTTGCCAGAGGATAGGAGTAGGATAGTCAGTGATGATTGGTGTTGCCCGGCCCGCAATATCAATCAACACTGGGGTGCTGATCGCCGCGTTAGTCGGTACGTGGGCTGTTTAGGGATTAGGGTGCAGGAGGTCAATCCTTCCCTTGTGCAGGGAAGTAATCAATGCCCCTGGCAGTTTCATAAGATAATGCATAATGGATGGAGCTTCGTGTTTAGGCTTGATTGATAAACACCACATACAACACATCATTGTTAGGGTTTCGCGGTTAGAATGTTTGATACAGAATACACACATCATAGTCTTGTTAGGGTTTCATTTGTACGGTAATAGCGAGTGACAATCATACACAAACATATACAAACATATACAGACAGTTATAGGATGCTTGGAAGGAATATACATTCATCACTGTATAGGGACGCTGGACCCGTTTTCCAGCTCATACTCATCACATCATTGTACAGGGACGCTGGACCCGATTTCCAGCAGGTGCAGCTCCCCACCAATAGATGGAGCCTTCAACGCTGGGGCCTACTTACCGGGGATGGTCTTATCACCTCGGTAAGTAGGTTTTTCCCGCTCAGAAGTTAAAAAAAAAAAAAAAAAAGAACTTAAATTACTTAATCCAAAGTTCAAACTTCAAAGTTAATCGTACTTTTTTCATTTTTTTTTTCTCTGTTTCTTTAGTCTTGTGCCTGCTTTGCACTGTTTGCAACTCTGCATGTCTGCTACGGTCGTTGAATGTGCTTGTTGATTTGCTGCAAGACAGGTGCTCTGCTGCCTGAACTAAAAGTGCAAAGCAGGTAAGTGCCCCTGTAGATGGGAAAGCAGAGGTTACACTAAGGAAGCAGAAGGATGAGGTAGGTAGGGCTGGGTCCTGTGAGCACCCAATTATTAAAAAGAAAAAGGGTTAACTTCAGTAGAGTCGCAAAAACGAGTTATAATTGCACTATCGGGCAAGATACAGTTTGCAATTGCACTTCCGGCCACCGTACCTGGCCAGAAAGCTGGGTTGTATACATTGCCCAAGCTGCAATTCCAAACTGTATCTTGTTGGCCCATAGTGCAACTATAACTCGTTTTTGTGACTCCCGC